CAGGTCGTGGGTCGCAGGCCGCGCTTCTCGGCCTCCGGACGAACGCCCTCCCAGCCGAGGCCGGTGCTTTTGTTCGGACCGTTGAGCGAAATTTGGCCCCGCACATCGGCAGCAATGGCATCGGCCGTGGTGAACGCATCGGTCATCGTCGTGGCAATGACGCCCGTCGGACCGCGCTTGGCCCAGCCAGCACAGTACAAACCGGGCAGATGGGAGATGATCGAGCCATCGGGAAGCTCCTGACGATCGCCGGTCTCGGTGCGGCTGGTGATCCGCCCGAATCCATCGTTGGGGATCACCCCGCGCTGTGCATCGAATTGGACTCCCAGGTCTTCCATGCCCGGCAGCGCGAGCGACTTGTATCCCACGCTTCGGAAGAATGCGTCCGCGGGAAGGTCAACGGTCGCCCGCTCGCCGGTCGGAAGATATTGGGGGGTCACTTTGGCGCTGGCAAGAAATGGGTCGGACGTGTCCAGTTGGTTGCGAGCGAAGGTGACATGTGAGAGGCGGGCGGGGTTCTCGGGGGATGTATGCAGGCTTTCGGGGGAGAGGAGGAAGTCCAGCGACCATGACCTCTGTGCTGTGGACGGGTCGTTTGTGGAACCCTTGGCGAGGAGCTGGACTAGGCGTTTCTGGGCGCGAGGCAGCGCTGACATGACTTCTTCGGGAGGGAATAGATCCTTAGGAACCGGGTCGAACGCTACGGATGGTAGCTGGAGGAGTTCGCGGAGCTCTTTGATGGTGAACGCAGCCTAAACCCCAACGTGGTCAGTTTCTGTGAAGACACGGCCAAGGGCAGTCGAGCAGGACAGACCTGCATTGGTCCTCGACGACCCACAACGCGGACCCTCTTGATTTTGCTTTTGAGCAGCTCCTCTACCGCATACTCCGCGATGTCCGTCTTGCGCAATACATCAATATCCGACAGCAAGATCCGGGCCACGTCCAGAGCCACGTTGCCTTGTCCTACAATGACAGCATTCTCCCCAGTGGTCAAGTCTGGGGCCAAATCTCGATGCTCGGGAAGGCCATTATACCAGCCGACAAACTCCCGCGCCGAGTAGACGTTCCGAGCGGCTTTCTCGCCCGGGATGCCGAGCTCTTTGTCCTTGGGTGCGCCGTATGCGAAAAGGATGGCATCGTAGTGGGGCTTGAGCGTACTCAGAGGGAGGGACGCGCCCAGTTCGACGTTGCCAATGAAGTTGAATCGCGGGGATGTGGCGACCTCGGTAAATTTATCTTCGCAGTTCTGAATTGGACGGATGGTATGTAAGTCATAGATTTGAGCGATGCTCGGTCGCAATGTCTGAACGTACCTTGACCTCGGGATGATCAGGGGCAACACCATATCGGGCCAGACCAAATGGGACGGGCAGCTTCTCGTACATATCAACGATCGCTTCGTCCACCTTGGCGAGCAAGCGATAGGCAGCATAGAAGCCGGCCGGGCCCGAGCCTATGACGGCGACACGAAAGGGTCTCTCATTCCGTACGACTTGGCTGTATTGACGAGTTTGTTTGATGAAGTGAGCTCGCCGAGATCGTGTCAAGCCGCCCCACGAGGAGCGAGTGATCTGCGCGGTGCATTGAGCGCAGACATAAGGGGCACGTTGGAGATGCATCGTGGCTGAGGGGGAGAAAATGAATCACGGGGAAAGGCGGAAGAATCACGGGCAAGCCACTTGCAGGGTCCGATGACATCGCATCACGTGATAGCTTTATCACGTCCGTTGCCGGGCCGACAATCGGGCGTGTTGTTGACGATCGGGTCGCAAACCATGGAAATGAAGGAACCTGAAAGATGGTGGATGATGGTTGGAGAGTGATGATGGATGATGACAGACGCAGCCTGCTTGCTTTGCTGCAGGTGCCAGCCCTGCAGGTGCGCGCTTGCTTCCCCTCCCCTCCACTTCCCATCTCTTTCTCCTCTTCCATTCCTCCTCCTCTCCGTTCCACGGTTCCTACATTCTCCCTCCCGCTGTCATTACTGTCGTTCACTTCCTGTTCCTCCCCTCGTGAACCTCTTTCTGGTGGTTGCGACGGGTATTCCTTCTTTCCTTTTTTAAAGCTAATCACACACAGCATTCCACATTCCACATTCCTCTCAATCTCTGCTCTCCACCCCGCCTATCGCGTGGGTCAATGCTCTAGTCCTTAGTTCGCGGCGTCGTCGTCATCCATCGCGAACATGGGCGAGTCCGACCCTCCATATTTGTATGATCGCCCCATCCGCCAGCATACAGCTTCGCCACGGTTCTACAGCCAAACCTTCAACCCCAAGGCCGTGACGGAAGCAAGCTGGGCTCAACCAGAGCCGAGGGCGGAAGTCAAAGGTCCTTTGGTTGATCTCAATCGGCACCCGGACTCGGTAAGCATCACCACTCCCGATCGTCGGCGTTGTCTGTTTATTCATGCTCATGCCTTCTAGTACTACAATGTTCCCGATCGGACGCGATGGACTCCAATGAGCCCCCACACAAAGAGTAGAGTAATCTACGGAAGAAAGGTGCAACTGGGACTGCGAGTTCTTGCCTTGATCGGTGCGCTGGGATCGTTGTTCTGCTCAATTGTCATCAAGAATGCAGCAAACACCATCATCTGGATTGTGCGAGTGGGGGTAAAGTGCTCCACCAGACACGAGGAGTAGACATGTACTGACCGCTCTATAGCCCGCTGTGGCGATTCTGCATAACGTATACAGTATCTGGCATTTGAGTCGATCTGCGATCAGCAGGCCCCCTGGCTCCCAGGCCAGCTACATGCTGTTCGCCGGAACTCTAGATCTGGGATTAGTTCCGTTCTACGTCTTTTCGGCATTTCTGGGGTACAGACAGTGGACTAATTCCGCCTGGAACTGGACCACAATGCTGAGTTCTGAGTTTGATGTGACGGCTAAGATCGCCGAGTCCACGTTTCTGCTGAGTGTCGTCAACGGAGGGTTGCATGCTATATCCCTTGGGATCTGCATCTTCTTGGGCATTATCTTCCGTCAGATCCACCGTTTGCCTCCGGACATGAACCCACTGGAAGACAATCTCACTGCGCGCCCAATGAGTCGCAGCAGGCAGAGTATTAAAGAGAAGCATGCTAGTTTGTCCACTCTGGATACCGACATTGGTTCAAGTGAAGATCCATTGATCGATGCTCGCAAAATGCCTTTCGTCCACACCCGCGAGAACTCGTACCTCGATGGCTTGAGTCGCTATCCTCCCAGTGTTTCTGATAAGAGACATTCTCAATATTCGCAGTCCAATCAGCGCATGTCGCGGGCCGAGTCGATCCCTCAGCTGCCATTCCAGCAGCCTAATGATATTCCAGACGACATCACTATCAACTCGCCTATCGAGAATCCCGATATTTTCAATAGACCGACAACGACAATCTCACATGGCTCCCCAGTCCGCAAGCCGTCGCCTGCTATTCCTCCCCGGTCTCAATGCGCGAGTCCTGCTTCAGATAACTGGATCGTGTACCCATCTCGCTCTGGGACCCCCTTTGAGGCAGAGACTCAGCATCCAGCCCCTCGTGAACCATCCTCCGCATACAGTGCCGCCGAGACGCTGACGTCGGCCAAGAATGGGGTCATGGATTGGTTCAACGGCTCGCATCGACAAGGTCAGCCCGTTGGACAAGCCATCACAGAAGACGTTCGCGGCGAATATGAGTCGATTGCAGCCAACGAGTTCTACAGCCACAACAATGACGACGACGTTCACGATTTCCTGTACCGAACTGGCTTTTATGATAACGCTGAACAAGACATTGGCGACAACCGGATCGACATCTTCCAAGACAGCGACCATGAACACGAATACCTTGACGAAGAAACTCGGAACTCACTGCGCGTCAATCCCCTTGCCTTGAATCCTCCGACCCCGCAGCCCAGAATCAACGGTATCCGCAGCGTCACCCGCTCGCCAAGCAACAGCAGCGGCCGTATGGCCTTGACCGATATTCCAAACCTATCCCCTAACCCGCAACAACTCTCAGAGGAAATCTCTACCGACCCAGGCCCGAAGAAGAGCAAGACCTTCTACGGAGACGTATCTCTGGCAGGCGGAGGCAACGACAGTGGTAGTAACAACATGACGCGCAAGGCCAGTCTGGGACAAAAACTGGGCAAATTCACCATGAATCGGAACCAGAAGCGAAGCGCCTACGGTGCACTGAAGCAGCACGATGACGACGACAACGACTACCTGCAAGCCGACCCCGTGACTCTGGCTGGCGATCGCAAGGGTCGCGTGGTCAGCAACTCCGGCGCGGACTTTGGTCGCACGGCCACGGAGTCGCATCCCGCTGCGACTGCCAACTCTGCCTCGTCGATGTCCTATGGGAATTACCTTGCCGGCCTGGGCGTCGTTGGGGTCGGAAGACGTCGCGACGTCAGCGGGAAGATCGCGGAGGAAGGCCGGGTGGAGACGAGCAAGAAGCCGGGATTGGAGAGCAGCAGTCCCGCGCGCGGTGACGAGAATGCCAAGCCTGTGCGTGCGGCCGGATGGGCGCGGTTCGCTGGGCTGTAGGCTCAATGTTATGGGGGACTGTATCTTGTGACGTGATGTGGCTTGTATTTATTTGTGCTTACGGGAGGGTTTCTTTGTGATATCTTTCTTCATGACTCGATGGGTTATTGATTTGGATGGATTATGATGATCTATGTGGATTATGATTGGTTGAATTGCATTTGCTTTGATGGGTGAATTTTCCGCTCACCTATGATACTCCGTTACTCCTTGTGTTGTGTATTGTAAGTAGTGTACAGACGTGCATACTGGCTGAATTTCAGCAGGAACCAAAATGGAATGGAAGAACATATCAGTCAGATATCTGAAACGTTTGTAATACACATATGTACAGCTGGTTACACCAGCAATGAAAAAATGTACAAAAAGAAAGATAGAGCAACAAATAAGGCCATGTTACCTAAAGGCTGAAGAAAATATCAAAAAAACGTGTCGGATACCTTCCCCTCTAGAATGTAGGGGTATCCATGGAGCATCTCAAGAAGGAACGCCCTCATACTCCCACCCTTTGATGACGCGCTTGTTCCGGCGGGAATTGCGGCGGTTCGCGTTGCATTTCACGAACAGGGTCAAGGCGGCGATGATGCAGATGACGATGCCGGCGATGGCGGCCACGAGCACGGTGCGGCGCTCCAGCTCGCCCGGGTCGGCTGCGTACGGACACCCCGCGTCGGGCCCGCCCGTCACCCAGCAGGAGGTGACGTCGAGGGAGTTGAGATCCAGCCAGACTTCTCTTTTGTTGGCGGCCGTGGCCGTGGGGTTGAGGACGTTGGACTGCGTGAGGAGGTAGTGGTACAGGAAGGAGTTCTCGACGCCGGTGCGCGGGATGGAGAGCGAGGTGTTGGGCGGGCAGGCGTGGTTATAGGCGTCGGCGAAGGAGTGCGCCGTCGCGGACAGGCGCCACGTGAAGGGGGCAGAGCTGACGCGGCAGGCGGCGTAGCGCGTGAGGGTGCAGTTGACGGCGCGCCAGTGTCCTGCTAGGCTCAGGTCCATGACGGCGCAGTGGTTGTTTGCGGAGGTGTCTGAGTCGGAGTCTGAGGATGACGTTGAGGTGTCGGCGGGTTGGTGGATGGACCAGGCCCAGGAGGTGGCCATGGAGAGCTGCTCGTAGGGGGTGATGCTGTCTGCGGCGGTGGTGTTGAAGAGCGTGTCGTTCAGCGACGGGGTCAGGCCGCACGCCGTCAGGTTGACCGAAACAGCCGACATCTCCTGGATGGTGGCATTGCGCGACTGTCCGGTCGGGACCGGGATGTAGTCGGAGATCGCCCAGGAGGAGTTGGCGTCCGCGATGCCGGTGGCGCCCGGCACGTAGTAGCAAGTCGAGTCGAGCTGGCCCGCCGCGTCGACGGAGATGGAGATCGTCGAGGACAGGTAATGCGCCGGGAAGATCAGGCTGTGCGCCGCGGACAGGTCGTACCCCTGCAGCTGCGGGTCGACGGTGCCGTATTCCACTAGCAGTCGCTTCTCGCGCGCCAGCTGCACGAACTTCCCGCACGGCCACCCGTCCGGCGTGCTCTGGATGCCGTTGGCGTCTGAGTCCACGGTGAAGTAATCCGTGATCGGCTTGTAGCTGTCGTCCACCTCGTACCAGGATTCGTTGAGGTTGGCGCGCTCCGAGGCGAGCTCCGACGGAGTGTAGACGTACGAGGAGAGCTGGTCGTCGAAGATGGAGTTGAGCGTGTCCGAGCCCGTGGGCAGTTGGCCGCCGGTCAGCTCCGAGGCGGCTTCGTCCGGGTGCGCGGCGCTGGCGGCAGTGTGCAGGTTGAATGTGACGAAGCGGATGTATGCGGTCAGCTCGGTGCTGGTGCGCTGGAACAGGCCCCGGAGCACGTCGATCAGCCCGTCGAGGTCGACCTTGGTGGTGCACCGGTAGGAGCCGAGCTCGTAGAGCAGCGACCCCGAGGAACTAGCCGTCGCGGTGACAGTCGCCTGCGCGGCATTTGTCGCGGTCGCGGTCGCAGTTTCGGTCGCGGTGCCGGAGACACTGACGACCGTCGCGTCCTCTGGTATCGAGACCGGGCAAAGCAGCCATTTGCGTTCGTCGGGGGACCAGTACAAGTCCACGATCAAGCGACGATATCCGACCGTGAGTAGGTTCGAGATGCATCGCCCCGCCGCATCTTCGTCATAGATATTGTTGCTGAAGCATGCTGCGCGCAGCGAGACGGATGAGGTGGTGACAAAATTCAGCGGGATCTGGCCGGCGACGTCTCTTTCGCTCTATGCGACATTAGTGGTATGATTCGACGTAAGGTGGAGTTTGTCGCAAACTCACCAGGAAGACAGCCGACTGCGTCGCATTGAGAATGATATCGGGATCGAACTTCATTGATGCGTGACTATAGGCCGCGGACAGCGGAGAGGCTGATTGCGCGATGGAAAAGTCGGCATGACCGGTGGATTTGGAGCTACATGCGACAAAGCATGAGTTGATGATGTAGCAGTGGAGAAGGGAAGATAAAGGGAAGGGTAACTTAGCTTACGGAAGAGGGGAGGAGGAAAAGCTCCGGCCGGCCGAGTGCGGAGAAGAAGGCGGTGGGTGACTTTGAGCCCGGCCCAAACACCATCTGGCCTCTTCTTTCTTTGCTTTGCTTTGCTTCCACCTCACCTCACCTCACTTCACAACTCAACTTATCTCACCCCACCCTTTCTACCAGCCCAACTCTTCCTCGCCTTTCTGCGTGCTCTTTTCAACCCTGAATATACCCAGGGGTTTTATTGCCAACGTCGCGTGAGAATTTTTGTTATCAGCTAGCTCGATCTACACATCCATCACTCATTATGGCGGCGCCCGGTGGGCCATCTCCCCAGCAGATCGCGGCCATGCAGCAGCAGTTCGCTGCTGAAGCTGCCAGACGCGGAATGACTCCGGAACAGTTCGCCCAGCAGCAGCGTGAACAACTCGCCGCAGAGGCCGCTAAGCACAACATGAGCACCGAACAATATGTCGCGCAGCTCCGCGCGCGCGCCATCGCCGCACACCAGCAACAGATCGCCCAGGCTCAGGCTCAAGCCCGGGCCCAGGCTCAAGCACAAGCTCAGGGAGCTCAGGGTGCTCAACCGCCCAGCCAGCCCAATCAGCCCGGTCAGCCCGGTCAGCCCGGCCAGAACCTGCCAGCACCTCAACAACCCCAGCCCCAGCAGACGACTCGTCAAGTTCCCGTCAACCCTTCCAATCCTCCCGACCCGAAGGCGATCGCGGTGGCGCAGTTCCTGCAGTCCCAGAACCTCAAGACGCGGACTTGTATCATGGACGGTCAACGGAAGGAGATGTTCAAAGGTTCGACGATGTGGGCGCCCGTGCGATAATAGTGGTGCTAATACAGTTCTCTAGTGAAACGCGCGATTCGCGCCCTTGAGTCCCCCGCCTATGCTAAAGCCGCCGCCAAGAAGAACTCTCTCCTCCCGCCGGTGACCGACCGTGCTTCCGCCGAGAACGTCTTTAAGCTTCTGCCCCTGTCCCTCCTGGCTCTCCGAGTCTCCAAGGTCGATCCCCACGCGGGACATAACCACGCCAAACCCAAGAACCGTGTAAAGGGACTGTGGACGGTCAAGATCGAGCAGCACCAGGAGACCAACCCGATGATGCACTATGTTTGGCTGTACGAGGGACCTCAATTGAAGCAGAAGTTGATGGCGGGTGCCGTTGTGGCGGGTATCTTCGCCGTCGTGTTGTTCCCTCTATGGCCCATGATGCTGCGACAGGGAGTCTGGTACTTGAGTGTCGGCATGATGGGTTTGCTGGGATTGTTCTTCGCTATGTCGATTTTCCGTCTCATCTTGTTCTGCATTACTGTCTTCGCGGTGCCGCCTGGTCTCTGGCTCTTCCCGAACTTGTTTGAAGATGTTGGGTTCGTGGACAGTTTCAAGCCCTTGTGGGGCTGGCAAGAGGTATGTATATGTTCTTCTCCTGGCCTGGGACAATGCTGACCGACTTGACAGAATAAGAAGAAGAAGAAGTCGAAGTCGAAGAAGGCTGTGGCTGCTGAGGCCACGGAACCTGCTACCGAAGCCGCGACCGACGCAGCTCCGGCAGCTTCCACGACAGCAACTGAAGCACCCGATACTTCCAGCACTGTCAAGCGCGATTTGGCGCCTCGAGTGGAGGAGGTTGGCGACGAGTAAAGGGGCTGCTGGGTTGGTTGCGGATTCGCCTTGTACTGTCTGGCACTGTTTCAATGGCACGGTTGGGTTAGGTATCATATCTCTTCGGTTTTCACGTTTCGATGCTTCCGGGTTTACTTATATGTGGGCATAAAACGAACTTGGACTTGGGCTTGCAATTGAAAATTATCATTACTTTCCTTCATGAACTGCGCCGGAGTTTAGAGTTTAATTTATGTATTCATGAATTTGTTCCCTTCCTGTTGCACTGCAGCAAAACCAACAACAGACAAACCGACTTGTCTAACCCCTTACCAAACTATGATCTGTGTGGGAAAGAGCGGAGGACGTCACGCTGTCCACTAACGTAATTTCTCTTTCTTTTCAGCAGACAGCCGTTGCGTTTTGAGTCTCGTTTGCGAGTCTGTCCATTACACATCCTGCTCGCCTATTGTCTGTTCTATCTTTCGTCTGGACACTGCCTTGGGTTTCAGAAGTGTCATAACAATTTAGAACGAGTCACAAACCCGCAAGTCTGCAGGGTAGTGAGTCTCTATCAAATAGATTGAATATTCACAAAGCCGCTTCTGCGGACCGTCATTCACTCTTCTCTGTTCCAGCTTCGCTAACATTACCTTCACTTCCCTTCTTTGATACTTAGCCAAACCTCTTTGAATAATCTTCCTCGAGACGGCAAGAAAATATTTCGAGAACTATCTCTACGCGCTCACTTCTCTAACGTCAATACAATCCCACCGACGTACCTCAAGCCTTTCATACCCTTCAACCAAACTGGTACATTTATCCACCGACTGTCAATAACGGAATCTTCAAGAATCAGATCATCGATGTCTGATCATACATCTGCGGTTCAGTGATGTGATCATGGCTCCAGGGTCAGTTGTCTCCCACGGTCCCTCATGTTTTCTGAACTGACAGCGTTATTTCATCTAGGATATGTTACGAGTTTGCGAACAAGGGATACTGCAACAGGAGGAACTGCAGATTCGCCCACGTGCAAAACGACCAAGCCATTCCCCCTCCTAGACCCGCATTTCATCACAGATCATCATATTCTCGCCTATCGAACTCAGAGAGAGACTTCCGAGCAGGGAAAAGAAACGTTGATGCCGTTATCACTGCCTCTCAGTTTGGCCCGTCTTCCGAGAGGCACGGCGACTTATTGACATTGATGTTGGCATGCGGCAGTCCGTCATACAAACACTTGGTACCGAGAGTGGTTCGAGATGTATCAAGAAAATGCTTGAACAGACCTTCGAAGGCCTGGACGGCTCCAGACAGGAACAACTTCTCAGAGCCCAGGTCATCCCATTCTTCGAAGTAGTTTCCCACCCAGAGGTGCTACCGTCTCCAGTCCTCAAGCAAGCGGTTAGAACCATCTACAACTTTCTATATGGCGTAAGGGGTGTCAGTGCATCGCGACTCTTTGCCTACATCTCAGACGTCTTGAAAGATCGTGTAAAGAATGCGACCACCGCATCCTGGTTGGAGGTTACTCTTTTGGTCTTCTCTTAGATGGTCGAGCCCAACTCGAAGACACTCGTTCAAGAGGCTACTGTAAACATTGCGGGCAAGTGCGAAGGGCAGATTACTGCGATGCGGGACATGCTTGCTCGAGCAAACAAGGGACGATGGCAGAATATTCTTGGTCTACAGCAGCGAATCAAGATTTATATGAAGAAAGTGACGCCTGAGGCGCAGCCACACAGCAAAGTACGCAACTTGATTGCCCTCACTCGTCGTCGAAAGGAAACTGCCGAGAGCCTTGAGCCTGGAAACGATATCCTCCAGTTGGAGGGGTCAGTTCAAGCCACCGCGCTCAGTTTGCGTCTGGATATTGCCTTGCTGGCTGACTTTCTGAAGCTTCATCGCGAGGCCCGAAACAGGCCGATAGTGCGATTGATTGAGATGGATCTGTCAAAGAATCGCGGCCAATGCAAAGCTCTCGTGGAGACAGCGGGACTTTCAAATTACGTTGTTCATCAGACGGAGGGCTATATCTTCCTCGCCCTGCTCCATGCGTTCGAGCGATCGTATGCAGCCTCGGCTGAGCTGGTCGATCAACACGTGGCCCATGCCAAGGAAGCTCTCAATCATGCCAAAGCCCTCTGCACCTTCTGGCCTGGTCAGACCCGTGGCTTGATGGACGAAGTTGAAGGGGTGAAGAAGATGCTTCGCGGTGCAACACTCTATACTCCCGTGACGAACGAAGAACGCATGGCGGTCATTGCTGCCATGGCGCAGGAGTTCCGTGGCACGGGGCATTGGTATTACTGTCGCAACGGCCATCCCTTCACGATTGGGGAGTGTGGCATGGCGATGCAGAGGTCCGTCTGTCCGGAGTGCGGAGAGCCCGTCGGTGGACAGGACCATACCGCTGCCGCAGGCGTGATGCATGCGAGGGACTTGGAGGAGAATTTTGCGCGGCTGAGTTAGGAATAACTTTCTGTCTCGCTATGGTTTGTGAGCAAGATCTTGGATCGCGAGATTCGAAAATATCTAGTGCTTTTGTTTAGTACAACATTTCACTTAGCCGAGCTAGCTGGTTATGTTATCAGTTGAGACCCTCCCTCAAATTAAACCTCACAAGTCCTCCAAACCCACAACCTCCCAAACTGACACCCGCCCCGACAACAGTCGGCATCGCGCCAACAGCCCTCCCCTTGCTCCTTACACACCCTCGGCTCCCCGCAGACCAACTCCCCATTCACCCCACAGTTCCCCGACACACAATCCGCGTCGCCCGCACACGCCGCGCCGTACGCCCCCGGCCCCGGCGCCGCCTGACATATTTTCGTGGATCGATCCTCACTGAACAGGCTATACGCGCACACCAGCCCAGCGACACACTCTTCAGTGCGCTGACAGACAGCCCCGTACTCCCCGCCGGGTCGCGCACAGATCCCCGCCGCACACAGCCCGAACCCGCACTGCGCGTCGACCAGACACGCGGCCCCGAGCCCCAGGACCCCCGGGGAGACAGGTGTTCGTCTGTGGAGCACATACCCATCGCTGTTGTCCGCTGGTGGTGCCGGTACTGCAGTCTGAGACGGTGGTGCAGGGTTTCCCCGTCTGGCTCAGCGCGCAGCTCCCCGTCTGGCAGTAGTTGGTGCTGCATTCTGTGTCGGTGGCGCAGCAGGTCCCTGCCGACAAGCGCGGGAGGCATCGGTTGGCCGGGTGGAAGCAGAATTCGTGGGGCGGGCAGGTGGCGTCGGTGGTGCAGGGCGCTCGCGTGAGGAGGTACTCTGCGGTTGGGTCGGGGGGTGGCGTGCAGGCTTGCGTTTGTGGGAGGTGCATGGTGGTGATGGCGAGGAGGAGGGGGAGGAGGGTCGTTGTGGTTAATGGGATTGGGAGGCGCATTTTGGGGGTAGGGGGTGGATGGTGAGGTGGGGCGTGGTAGTAGGGAGGTGTTGGGGGACTCGGGGGACTTGGTGGGTTTTATGGGTTCATTGTAGAGTACGGAGAAGCTATGGAGTAAGATACGGAGTATGAGGCTAGCAGTTCGTATCTGGGTTGGTGTGCGATGATCTGCAACTTTATTGACTTCCCTGCATGATGCTTGATGGCCCGGTTGATGTAAGGGGTTGGTTGGTGGGTAGAAGGGGACTGGACTGGATGGACTGGACTGGTCACAGGGGAGATTCCTGTTTGAGGTGGTTGTAAACTCGGGGATCGAATTGTAAGTTGCCTGCTGTAACTACTCCGTAGAGTAACTACCTGTGTTAGTGGCCAGCGATTCTAGGTAGGAGGGGCGAGGGCTACTGGCTGGGTTTATCAGTGGGCTGGCTCTTCTGTTGCTTGGCAGGTGGTTGTGGTTCCTGCTTTGACTGCGAGGTTTATCTTGTTGCCGTTGCCGCGACTTATCTTAACCAAGGGCCGGTTTTAGTACAATCAATACCTCTATATTGCTGGGATATTTGATTGGCAAGCTCTAATCTGCATGTGCCTTGCACACCTTGACGGCAGGTTGAAATTCGACTACATGGCAGAAATCGGTCGGTGTATGTTTGAGATTTCAGTTGGATTGTTAGATTTGGCTTCTAGTGTAAACTAGAATTGATTGGCCCTCGAAACGAACATACAACAGCAAGCCTTTTGTCCCAGGGAACAACGATTCCAATGTCATTCTCAGGTCCGATAACCGTACAGTACACTGCAGACATCTTCGCCGCCCGGGTAATTCCATGCTCACGAAGGTGACCAGGTCTGACTGCATCAAAGGGTAGACGGGGGCATCTTGCTGATGGCGAAGGTTCATAATGGATAGAACGAAAAACCCAGACAAACAGAGACACTACATATTGCGAACTGCCGCCTAGAATGTTCGTCCTCATCCACGATGCTGTGCAGGATCTCAAGCACCATAGAACAAGAGTTTTCAGTCGCAATCACCGCGATCTCCAGAGGCTAGGCCACAACCTTGTCCCTTCGCGTAAGCAACACCATGCCTCTGGTAGTGGAATGCCGTGTCAGCTATATCAAGAGATAACCTCCCATCGAGGATGTGACGATAGCAGGGCCGCAATGTGTGACTTCTGGATGTCACTCTCATCGAAGAAGCATAGGGCGGCCAGCTCATGGTACTTCAATGGATGGAACACTGTGGCGGCTAATCGGGTGACGGTAGGCTAGGGTTCACCGCAGCTGCAGGTAGATATCTGCATTTGCTCAAGATCTTGACATCCTCAATCAGCATGATGATGCCCTTGGTGAAGTCCAGACCATTCCCAATCAGGCGCGGGTGACGGTATTGCTTAGTATTGCCCTGCAGCAGTTCCTGAATGTGCTTTTTAGTTGTTTGTAAAAAAAAACCTCTTTGTTCCCGGAGATGTGCCTCATCAGGGTTGAGGGCATGCAAGGCCCGGCGGAGGGTGTTGTTGTACTGCAAACACACTCCCGGTTTTGCCCTCCGTGGGCTCTGACCCTAAGAATGAGTCAGCAGCCAGGTCTGCACCTAGATCTGCTTCCAGGACTGCATCCAGCTTCTCTTTTGTTGGTACCGGCATATTGGCGAATAACTGCTGCCATGGGGCAAACCATAATTTGTTGCTTTTCTCGGTGTTTCCGCTGAGCGTTCCGGAAAAGGCGACAAAAGCGAGAGATGGAGGGTACTAGAAGGGTTTATTCATTCGGTAACTCATAGGAGCTTTGCGAAGAACCAGGTCCGCCATACGAGGGCTCATAACCTGATGATGTGGATCGAATCGGCGATGGAAGGAACGGTGTCTTAGGGGATGCCTCAGAGTTCGGTTCGTATCATTTTTATTCTTTTTTGGTAATCCGATTCTGTCTCTGGGTCTTCCCACAGCGCGGTTCGCGCGTTCAGCTATCTATTTCACAGCAGCCTGGCGGCCCGACTCACTACGGGTTAGCTAGGGGTATGACCAGACTGTGCGGAGGGAAAGGAGTCCTTACCATCTCGTTGAGACCTTCTTGTCCATTAATGGTATGATTCTCTCTCTGAAAGTGTCCAGGCCTGTCACACGCGTTGCAGGACGGTACCCCGTACGGTGTCCATTTGTTCCTGGGCTACAGCCCATAGGAAGTCAAGAAGGTGGACCACTGTTCTCCAAGGTTGCAAGGAGAAACTGGATCCGCACGCTGTCACCGAGCTTCTCATTCTCGGAGAGGCTATGTTGGAACGTATCCAACGCTTCGGACATCTTCATGATGTATTCGTTAATGTCTTGACGGTCGTCATATCGCAGCGATGTGGCGGTCTGGAGACCTTCAAAGGATTGAACATTTGAGACAACGTCATAGCGTTTCTTCGGCTCGTTCCAGACTTCACTAGAAGATTCCGAATCCATCACTTCGTGACGAATTCCTGGCGACATCGCAGTGCAAATAGCCCCATGGGCCTTCTCGTCGTATGGATGCTATTCAGACAGTTTGTCGTCATACTCCTTGCGTGCCTTGGCGTACTCCTGTTGGGCAACTTAGGCAGCCACACCTTCGACGACATCGTTCTGGTATAGTAATTACAGGGGTTGTAATCTGGATATATCAATCAGATCTGTACTGGTTGGTCTGATAGCTATTTATCAGCCTTGCAGAAAAAAGCCTCGGGATAAGGGCGAGATGGTAAATATGATTCTGAGTCGGAGAAAGATATCCCTTTTCGCGCTTCGGGCTTTGACTTTAGGACTTGAGGCTTAGACTTCTTCCACTTAGAGAATTTAGTCTGGTTGATATAAATAGTATAGTCCCACAAAGCCTTCTATTCTCTATTGCTCTCCCCTGTCGACGCTCTTGAAACCGTGACTAAGCCTGAGACAATACGCCAAAGTCCCTGGCTTCGAAGATAGGTCTTTACGGCTTCAGACTAGTGTTGATAATTTCCCGCGCTTAGAGTAGCACATGCCAGACACAGACATGTGACAGTGCAAAATGATAGAGACAACCAAGTGTATATGGATTTGTGATTCAGGGTGGCAAGGAGGTCTGTGGTGGTGGCCATGGGTGTGGCGGTAGTGGTTGCTGTGGTGGCTGGCTGCTTCATGATCGTTCTTTGGTGCATCAACCAGGCCCTGGAGAATTGTGGCGGATTCGGTCTACAGGAGTTATAATCCCCGAAGCGAATGTCAAGGTTCTGCAATCCAAATATGCCCCAACAAACCGTGAACATCAGGGGTGGGAGTTGAAGAAGTTGTTCAGGCGTATTCTTGTGCCGAGTCGCATTTTTCCTTGTCCATGAAAATCTTAATTCTTTGGAAGACACGTCTTTGGCTGAGCGAAATTCTCACTCGGCGACGTCTGAAGCACATATATGTCCAAGATCTTCTTCCAAAGCCCATGAGCGAAGAGCACAGCTCCCAGCTGGTGTCTTTTGTTCATATGACAATCCCCCGAGCGCTTTACGTCTCTTCGATATTGTTCTTCTGCCTGGTCCATTCGCTCTTGTCTTTTGGAAGGAAGAAGTCGTCGTGAGCCATCTGGCAATCTCTCTATACACTTCAACTCCTAGGCGGCCATGGATCTCGGTGCGGATTCCTTTAGTCTTCTCTTCAACCTCATCTATTGCTGGTCTGAAGATTGTGTGTAGTGGGTTATCGCCATTGGGCTTACGCTTGTGGAGAACGCACATGCCACGCCCGGGACGCTGATATGTCGTATACAATCCGTATAAAATAACCGGACAATCATATAACGGGCCGATTGCCCGAGCGCGGAGAGATTCTGGCAGAGTCTGCACAGTGTCTGCACAGTACCCTTTGTAATGAACTAGGGCTTTCGACACGTCTGCAGTTAGAAGAGGCTAAGGCTCGGGGTGTAGCATGGCTTCGCACTTTAGTGCGCAGTATGTTCTGGAGCTCGAATTTGAATGTGTTCTGGCCGTCAGCCGGTCTACGGCAGAGAGCTATGCGCGGAAAGCAGAGCTCGCTCGAAGCGACACTGCAATCTGGGACGAGCCACCGACTCTTGTCGTGAAGTCAAGAGCCATTTGACTTGCTATCCCAGAATTTGAGACCGGATGGTTGTCAGCGATTTGAGGTCCCAGGGGTAGGCTATCTTAACGTGCTTTTATGATTCTTGGTGGTTCTTGGTTGTTGTTGCTAGCTAGGTTCCTCGCACGTAAAGAAGAGGTGAAGGCCTTAAGATCACGCGACTGGATTACTCAGGAACGCCGACAATTGGGCTGTGTCTGCATGGTGTTTAGATTATGAGCCGATTAGTAGGCGAGGTCACAAGGATATAGAAAATCCTTGACGTTGACTTGGGCCCCTGTCAAGCGGCCGCCTTGATTGATCGATTGCTGTACAGGCCCTAAGAAGTGTACCGTACTGCTTCATACGGAATCCAGGTGCGATAAGCCCGACTTACTGACAACCTTGAATCGCATTCTCTTGGCTGACCACCATCACTGCACATTGGGCTCGGATGTGTGAGAGTAATGAGGAAAGCGATTAGACCGATGTTTACTACATCCTCGTCGGCTATTCGAAGCTTCGCAGGTCTAGTCTAAAACTCGACTGGACTATACCTCATCATAGACCCAGGCTGTTAGACATTTCCTGTAAAAGCCTTTAAGCTATTATTTCTCTGTGATGGTAGTTAATGTCCGGTTTCCAGGAGTCAAGCGAGGAAGAGAAGCATCCAGGAGTCCTTCCGCTCTATGGAAACGGAGGCTCGTGCGGATGTTATGAAGCCACACATTCCAACCTGTTTTATTGGCTAGAAGGTGGGAAACTGCAGGCAGCGTGTCCGGAAGTCTTGCGGACAATGTCTTGTGACCTTGTCTGTATTGTGTGTGTGTGTTCGTTCCTCCGATATCAACGCCTGCAGAGCCTGATGGTATGTTGATGGTGTTTATGAAGAAAGATTGATGGATTTGACGCTGTTGGTGGTAAAACAGGTTGACCAAGCGGAGGGCTCATAACCTGATGGCAAGCGTAGAGAGCTATCTGGGACAGGATTGTTTTGTCACAGGTCGTTTCAACTGGGTAAATGGCAAATCGCCCTTTCTCCCAGCGCTTGTGCGCTATGCTGTTCAAACATATGGCACAGTGTGTCCGAGCGGTCATTTTCAAGTTTCGAAAGGTAGGGCTGGTCACTCATCCGCAAGGCCAGCAAGGTCATTCAGACCCTGACCCTGGCTTAGTTCCGAGGTCGTTCCGTCGTCGCTGGCGCTGGTGGTTGCAAAGACGAGTTTCTGCGTCGACTCGGTCGAATCTGCACATGTCACCCATGTGGGCCACTCCTGGCCTTGTATAAGCTATTCTACAATTATTATAAGGATCTCGGCCGGGAGCTGTGCATGTGATTGCATCCTGGGGTCCTGCAGCGCGCTGATGTGGGAAGGTTGCCTTGCGTACTGGTGCATTTGAGTCTTCTCCAATCCTAATTGATTAGGCAAGTCACCTCAGCCAACTAGGTACATGCCTAAACAATCAGACCCCCCTGGAAGTATCATTCTAAAACGTCAACCGAGTCATCAAAGAGCGTGCCGACTTCACTGAGTCAAGGTCTTAGAGTATCCTCGTAGCTCTTGTTATTGACATTTCACGGTGTCACCAGTCAAATCGGAACAGCATTGAGCCTAGTCACTCAATATTCTGACCCTATTCATCATTCCCAGAATATAGTCCCTGCAACTGGCATTTCGTGTTCTCATCGGGTTAGCCCTACCAATACGCATGCATAGGGCGGCACCTCTTTGAAACCACTTCACGTACTTCGCCGACGCCTCAGTAAATCCTTCTAGTGTAGATTCGCAGCGGGCAGTGATGAAGAGATGAAGACAACGTAGGGTCATGACATAGGCTTCCAGCTGGCGCCGGCGAGCGAGCCAAAAAGGCCACGAGCAGCGTGAACTACCGGCATACCTATTGTCACAGAGTTTAGTAATTTCTGGACCGCCCAGTATCATGCTGGGATGCAGCGATGAACTTGTCCTCGAATCAATCCCCTAGTGACTTCTCTCCCACTCCACGAAGGTACTGTGGACATTTCTCTCTGAAATGTCCTGTCCCCCCCCCCCGATCCAGTATTTTCTTTGACTGAACTATCATTGCGGGCATAAAGACCAGCACAGTGTGAATCTGACGGCGGATGAGCGTGTTGAGCGCAACGTGTCGGATGCGCGGATGCGGGGGCGAAACGGCCATCCTGATACCGGAGCTGATGCTAGATAAAATCTTGGTACTATGCGTCACACTGCACAGATCACAGCTATTGAACTCTGCCTCCCCACGATGGGAACGCCCAGAAAATCGGTGGCAGAGATCTGTCAAATTCGCTCAGATGGATTCTTTCTATCACTCCCGGATTACAATCTCTGCTGTCACTAGTTAAATCAAAGATCGCTCCGCGTGCGCTATCGATAAGCAAACGGGCGTCATCGATCTCTTCGAGCCTTGCGTAGATGTTGATTGATAGTTCTGGACCTCAGTGATGGTGAGAAGGAGTCCGAGTACTCGGCGTGTTGACTTCAGTCGCAACTTCAGTCCGAAAGCCTATCACGCCTGAATTGCAGTTCATTTGTCTGATCACGCTCTTGGGATAATGATGGCAATCATCAAAGCTCATGAAAAGCGACCATTGAAGTGGCGGATAAATAGACCTGAGAGCTGCGCTGAGACCGAAACAGATCGAATGCGACAGCTCGAAAGGCCGCTTGGGCTCTTCATGATGAGACACAGTCAGCATGCTTTTGGCGCTCGTCTTTGATCACCCATACCTTGTTCAGATCCTGGATACTCCAACCACATCCTCCTCCCTGGATATGTAGCTGATCCGCCGGAGGAACTTGCCGACATTGCTCAAGATCAGGCTGACGTCTTCGTCGCCATTCCGAACCGCGCGATCGAACTCGCGACCCAGCTTCTCGATTCGCCCCGCCCCGGCCTTGCATAGCACAGGGTCATCCTTCCACTCAGGACGCTCGATGATTCGTATGGCCCCGACGATGTCTGCTGGTGATTTCGGGAACGGCGTTCCGGTAACGTGCCAGACCGGAGGAGGCTCACGCACACCCTCTGGGTTCACCGAGACCCCGCGGTAGGCGCCCCACAAATTGCTCAGGCTTTGCACCAGCTTTGTCGACTTCCCCTTGTCAAGGTGGGCCTCGTCTCTTAGAATCCGCCCCCAGACCACCGGACATTCGGCCTAGTCCAAGACTGCCCACTGCACCGTTTGGGAATCTGCACCTCCGTCGAAATTCCCAAACATTGCTGAACTCGCGTTTTGAAGGACTGGTTGGACGTAAGCACGACAAACTGATTGGCGTGGCGCTTCGCGGAAAGATGAACTTGGATTATGGCCATTTTTGATATGATTGGTGGGGGCCACAAGCCGCGCCTCCCCTAGTAAGGGAAGAGGAGGCCGCAGATGTTGTTCTCGGTGCTGATTGTATGGTACCAAATGACCAGCTGTGGGGGTGTACTGGGCGTTGTTGTTGACCCGCTCGGCGACCATACCATCCATCCGGAAAGCAACATTCTTCTAACATCGTTGCAGGTGGACACGACGAGCAGCTGGTACGGCCTGCCATCTCGGCTGGGATTACGGAGGAATAGAAGAAGGCAGCCGATTATCCAAAAGGTTTCCACTGTGCCGGAAAGTCCTTGCACGATTCCGATCGTCCCATCCAGACTAGACAGTATGTAGACCGCGGCGGTCTGCGGACCGTGAAATCCCCCATCTCTGCAGGCAGTTCAGCCAGGGCAACGCCCCGGTTCGCGAGGGTGCTGTACAGATCGATCGACGGCAGGCTGTTGGGGCGATTGGCAAGTAGGGTATCCCTGCTAGCATATACTGCTCCTCGCCGGTCTTAGACTTAATCCCGGCGACGACAACTTGACGCGCTTCAAGCACTGCGATGACCGGCGGCAGAGGCGGTGCTGGGGCCTCTGCGGGGAAGCCCGTCAATCCGGTTGCGTTGGCAGTCGACTTGTCCGTATCCATTGTGCAACACACTGTTCTCTCCCTGATTGCGGAAGTAACGATAATGCGCACTGATGTTGGTCTTGTCCTGTGGGTGTCGAACTGCATGCCTGAGATCAACTTTAGGGCCCGACACGGGCAACATTCCGTGTCAAGATATCCAAGCCCGTTGCGCTGATATACAAGCCCTCGCTGTTAGCCTTGACCAATAGAAGTATAGTCCCTGCAGATCAAGACTGGTCGATATCCCACATCATTCTCTAAAACCTCTTGATAGTGTTTTAAGTTGTAGTTGGGGAGGTTAGAATCCACCCAGTATTCACACTTAACTTCGTACCACAGCCCCTTTCTCGCGATCGTCTAGCATCGGCCGCGACGGACCTCACAGTCCTGGGCATAAGCCCACACCCTAACCAGTGTTGAGAAGGTGATCGTGCATGCCACGACCACGGAAAAGAGCTCAGAAGAGTGAGTCCCGGAAGTTCGTGATCGGAGTCACAGCTATTCCAGCCCCTGCCCAGCGAACCTGGGCGGCTTCCCAGTGCGACGCCCGCCCCGCTCTGTCTGGCAGGCCACTGGCTCTCTCGCTGATAAGAGTTCCTAGAATTGCCTTTTCTCAAATCCTCGGCGTTAGCAACCGAAGTCAATTTGTTCTAGTCAGAGAAGGAAGCACATACCGAATGTTGTTAAACCTGTGATTATCATGAATCTGAAAACGTGTCACGCCCAATGTCTCAGCCATGATCTCAAAAGTATCGATATTACACAACAATTTTACGGTATGGCACGCGTGCATTAGCATTAATCCAATTCGCGCGTAGCGAGTGGTCGAGCAGACCGATTAAGGTCAGCGCCATGTTGAATTGTCCTTTTCGTCAGTGACCCTAGTCGACCATCACCCCTTCATCGGTTGCAATATACACCGCGGTCTGAACACGGTAGAACGCACGGGGCTCTTGTGTAAGCGGCGATTTTGAGTTATTGAGTTAGTATGACACTCACTCCTCAGGGAACTCCATCCGAAAGGCTCAGAGCCATGTTGCAGTCTGTTAATATCAGTCTTATCCAAAGCATTCTGAGGCGGTATTCCTTCGATGCCTTTTGTGGCGGATTACAAATCTCCTTGGCCAGAGGTGTAAACAAAACGGTCCGAAATGATAGGGATTCATGCATAGGTATGGCAGTAACCGTCTAAGCTTTAGATAAGCTTAGGGTGCCCAAAACTTTGCCTTGGGTTCTGACGACCCTTTTGCGTCACAGAAGAAAGTGTAAGACTCCAAAGTCAAATCGTGAACTCCGCAATCCACCTGACAATCAAGCTTGCAGACTTTATCCCGATACTGATCTGGTGTCGCCACCCACTGGCCCAGGTAAATCACTGGACCTGGGCCGGGGTGTAGATTTAGCAATCCTGTTCACTGGCGTTGGCTGCAAAGGTCTCCTTTCCACTAGCATTCTGTGATACCATCGGCTGGCAGTAGGGAAGATATACCCAAATCCGTAAGAGTAGTGATTCGGTGGTGGCGTATCCCGAAGGTACCCGGAGTTAGACCTCCTTGATAATGCCGTCTACCCCACGTTTAGACGCGTTTTGAAAACAAATAGACAATAGTAGGATTCACTTACGGGGAGACAGTTTGTCTTCCTCGCCGCGCACTCATGGCACTTTACTGACGAAACGGCGTCGAAGACGCAGCCCGGCTTGAATCCCTCACCCGAGCCTTGTTCATAATTCTTGACTGACGTCCTCAGGCATTTGAGGCAAAACATGACATCTGGGCGAAAGGTAATCACGATCAACGAAGAGAAGAATGAGATAAGTATAAGAACGAGCTGAGAATATGACAACTGATATGGTCTCGTCAGACAAGAGTCCATAGTTTGGTGAAGTTAATCTCGCAGTGTCCATCCCCTTTTGCTACTGTGGTAGCGCAGCGTACTGTCGTCTCCCTTCATAATAGCAGCTATTCGGGGCTATTTTCACGATGGAAACAGCCGACCTTGATCTGAGAATGATTACTCAAGCACCAAAGACACGTTGAATGATTTTATCGTCCGAACAACCGCTGATTTTGCGACCAGATAAGCGAAGAAGTCTACCTGTGCCTTGAATAAGGCGGCGATGAGCCCATTGACTCTCTGTTTGAGTATGTTCAAGAACTCATACGAGCTCGATTTCAGATTCGAGAAATCGAACATCTCGGAAAGATCCGTACCGTTCCAGCGAACAATGTAAGGTTGCACACCCCCAACTGGCTCGACCTTGGGTCCACTGAATACTGAGATCATCTGACCAATCTCCCTTCTAGGGGGCAATACTAGAGGGCATTGTGTCTCCCAAGCATGGTTGCTCCATTGATAGCAGTTGCTGCATCATGTCGAAGTTTTTCGGTCGAAACTTCGCATTGGCTTTCCTATCAATGGGATAGTCGCCTTGTACACACTGCTGATTAGTGCACTTGAATCTATCAGAACCGTTGAGCATTAGATTTCTTGTCGACACACACAAATCCAACAAGCCTGCTCCAAGCTGGTTCATGCATGTCGATGACGTCAGGTTGCTCAGCAAACGCATTTTGCATGCTTCTTCGCATCGATGACTGACTGCTCTTCAAAGATCATGCTCTGAAGTGGTTTCAAATGCTCATAACGATTCTTTCAAATGCCCCGCTCAAGTAAACAATGGCCTTGTGGGATAGTTGTACCGGGCTGGACAATCTTGGTTGCCGAATCCTTGAAGGCATGAATGGGAATCACAATGCCGTGCGCCTTGGAAACTATCCTCTCATTGCCCTTCAACCGCCCATATTCCTGAAACCATTGGTTACACCTGATAAACCTGTGATGCCACTTAAATCTATCAGTAGATGTTAGATGGCAGTAGCCGAAAAGAAACCCTGTCTGTTCCATTTCCAGGATTCGATCTTCTCTGATTTCCAGAAGAGGGCCAGAGCTTCCCAAAATTGGTCGTGGTCTGTTTGACCTTTCCGACCAACGCGTACAGGATATATGTGGGCAATTTCTAGGGGCTCCCTGAACTCAGTGATCACGCAATTAGACTCATTCTGTGAGTTCCTTGAAGATAAATCAGTAGACGATGCGGAAATAGTATTTCGGTGGACGCATATAACGGGGGCTACCAACGAACCCGGCCGGCAGGATCCAATCTCCTCCGCGCTGACGGTGCCGTCTGCGTGGGCCATGAAAATCCAGAAGGCCGTGATAAACCCGTCGACGGTCACACAGTCCCTGAACGGGCCCTGGTTCCACGCACAGTGGCTGCACGGTCCGCCCTCTCCCCCGACCTCCCCTTCACGGAGATCACCGACAATCTGTCCCAGCGCCGACAGATAGTTGGGCCGGGAGGCGAGGGGGAGGGCGGCCGCAGGGTTGCGCCGTTCAAGTTCCCGCCGAGCGCCTGGCCGCAAGGTCTTGCATCGGCTGCGAAGGGGGCCACTGGAACCCCCACAGACTGAACGACAAGAGCTCGCCGTTAATTGGAGGGGGGGAGGCAGGCACGGCCGTGGCGGCGGCGGCGTTGGTGGTGGTGGTGGAACTAGTTTCTTAGCAGATTTACTGCGAGCAGTCGTAGTTATGGCCGATATCATGCTGTACTTGGAATAAAAAGTAGCCGCCTGCTTGAGGTTTAAGGTAGTAGGTAATCTGGGGATCTTGGCCTGAAGTTAGTTTTAGTAAGACCATAGTACTTAGAATATTAAGCATCTTGAAGCAATCCTGGCCCCTTAGATAGCCTTTGAAAACTCGAAGGGATGCATCGTCCTCGCTCGGATGCTTCATATGGCTCTTCGGTATTTCGCGATTAGTGCAGTGCGTACAGCATTTCCCAGCTGCTAATGCCAAAGCAGATTCAACGAATGCCCCTGCAGTCTCGATCAAGCGATTTTGGTCGTACTTAGCCCTAGTTGACGCAGAATCTCTTCTCGACTTCATTGATTGACTTCACAATTCTCCGAAAGTCCTGAATAGTCATAGAGGCCCTTAGGTGTATCGGAAGTAAATGGACAAAGTTTTATTCAGTAAGCCCAATTTTGGAGTTGGCAGTGTAGACCACCTAGAAATAGACATTCAATCTGCGGGGATAAAGGCTGGAATCTCCTTTTCCATATCATATCTTACTCGTTAGTATTGGAAGTAAGTGCATGAAATTAGCAGACATACCTGTGTATGCAGATGCTTAGCATCGTCCTCGGAAAGACGAGAGGCATCAAGACTATATGGATTGACTTCCTTGTGCCGACTGGGATAATACCGGATCATCAAAAAGTGCTCTTAAATGGCCGCGTACTGGTAAATTCCATACATGGGTGGTGTTGTGCTTAGTTGCGCTCTCTGCCAATTTCTTAGTTACCTTCACTGGCACCTCGATCGGGAGAAGAAAGGATTAATAAATGAACGATGGAGGGGGATGGACGAGATGAACTGGCCATATACATGAGAGCGGTCCAAGATTTGTTTCCAGAGGCCGGTGACTGCTTCGATTGCACACCAGCTGAAACGGTCTTCCATCAAAGCGAGGACGAAGGAACAGAAACTGAGCGGCCCTAGAGAGGGTCCCATAGCTGAGAATCTTCCTGACAACATCTTCGATGTCCACAGCTCCTGTAAACAGGCAATAGATGCTAGACAAGACGGCGGGGACAGCAGTTGGGGAATCAGTGATGTGTAGCCATGAGAGGATAGGTTGCGGAGTTGCATTATATAATTTATCGACAAGGGTTGGTAGGAAGGATAGCGGAAGAAAAAATGGTATCTTAGCAATATAAGCCAGGAGTTGATTGATGCTTGGTTTCTCGGATGCAGATCATGATGATGGGGATAGCACCATGGAGACAGTCATGTGGTAGAGTGGCGAAGTAGAAGGAGTGGGCTATGAAGATGGAGATGGAGGTTATATAGGGAGATAGACAAAGAGATAGACACAGATATGACAGATGGAGATTGTGGGTTAAAGGTGGAAGGTGGAAGGTGGAAGGTGGAAGGTGGAAGGTTGGAAGTAAATGGAGATGCAGACGAAGATGCAGATGAAAGACGAAGATGGAAGACGAAGATGGAAGATGAAGATGAAGATGGATGGTGGGAGTTGAAGAGTGTGGAGGAGGAAGGTAGAGGAAGAAGAAGAGGAAGAAAGAAGAGAAAGGAGGTATTTCAGCACCTCGTCAATCAGCGGTCGCTGCATTATTCACTTCGTCTATTGTATTCAATAATGGGTTATAGCTAGCAAGGAATAATAACATGCTGATTCACCAGTACTCAGGACTTGGTAGGGATCCTCATCGATACCCAGGGTGAATGGATCTGCATTTAGGGCTTTGAACTATGAGAGCAGGAGTGAATGGTCATAGTCGTGCATACTTCCATGCCCTTAGAATCAGCTTTCTTTGGTCCACCATTTATGAGTTAGAGCAAATGATTGACAGCCTGCACTATCTACCATAGAGCATCCTCTGTATACCCATGCCTTACGCAACAAGGCTCACAAGAATCATCCATCATGAAGGCATACAAAGCCCGACATGTGACAACCCAGCAAGCCCTCCTCCCCTCCTCAACCCCCATCCACCCCCCTAAGCACCATCATGATGATGATGCATCTCCGCCCCATGATACTCATTCGGATGAAAGTCCGGATGCCCCGGAATCTTCCCGGTAGCCTTATACTCCTTCTCCGGAAACGAGGGACCTATTTGCCCAAAGTCAGCCTACCCCCTCGAACCCCCAAAACCCCCTCCAAGATTTGGTGATAACTCACCCAAAGTGGGATGCACCAGCGTCGTCTCATCAAAGATATCAAACGCATGTTCCTTAGCCCAATTGTCCACCATATCCCAGTTCGCGCACTCGTGCTCGACCACAAAGTTGGGCTTCGGGGCGCGGTCATTCGGATCCCAGGTGAAGGTGAGCAGGGCTACGTCGGCCTTGCACATGATGTTCTGGCGGAGGTTGTCGACGCAGTGCTCTGTTTCATGACCCAACATCAACAACATCAACAACAACATCCGAAGCCAGTTTGGCTTTATGTTATGTTAGGGGAGGGACAAACCGATATGAACCGGAGTTGTTGGTTTCCCAATATGGTAGGAATTCTGATAGACCACCTGCCGCAGGAATTTCTGTACACTGGCTGTCAGTTTCCATCCCCGACCCAGTCCATCAGGGCAGGCTATCTTACCAGGCAGTGAAGCTGATGATATACATCTACTGACGTGTCAGCCTTGCGGCCATATATTGTGCATATTTCGGGAAAACAACGAAGTCGCGCCGACTACCTACCCGGGATAGCATAGAACCCCCCCTTCTCATCATTGATCGGCACCGAGGTGCGATTTATCCGGGCCAGATCCTCGGCGGTCACCCTGATATTGGAGTTAACGAATAGCTGGTGCCACGCATGGTCGAGTTCCTCGGAGGGGGCACCCTTGAACGGGTTCTTGCTGTCGATAGAGGCGTAGAGAGTCTTGCGTTCCATGTGGATGGCTTCGTGGAGGGGGGCTATCTGACATTAGCCTGTCTGTTCTTCACATATTGAAGACTTAGGTGATGGGGGTTTAGGCAGCGTACAATCAATCAAATGCGCCGGCTTAGACACTGGCCCCTGCCTTGACTTAGCCGTCGCGATCAAGAAAGCCGCGCCGTAGAGAGAGGCAAGCAGGAAGTGGAAGCAGAGGCTCTGCCATCGGAAGAAGGAGAACGGTCGCCGGGGGGGACGGTCGATGTAGCAAGCCTCTTCCTCTTCGTCTAGAAGACGTTGGGTTTTGGAGCAATGCTCGTCATGGTAGTGTGGTAGAGGCAAGTGATCGGAGGAGGTGCTGTCCTTGCCGCCTTTCTTCAGCGCTGCGTACATTTTGCATGTGTTGATATGGTGGAGGCAGAAGATGATGATAATAGTAAGCGATCTCGAATCTGAGAAGGTGTAATGATCCCACAGGCAGGGAGGGCAGCAAATGCACGAGTACACGTAAGTATTGCACGAGTTCGAGTATCAGTATCAGTGGTGGAAAGAAAGCCTGCTTTTCTGCGTCTCCGACGCAGCTATCCTCTGGCAACCGGTTACGGCTGCAATGGATTTCAATCTATGTCTTTGGGACTGCTTTGTGAGTCATCGTACTTGGAGGAGGTAGTTGGTGTTGGAATTATTGGCAGCCAGCGCCGCTCGCATTGTAGAAAATAGATTGAGGTAGTTGGAAAAGATATGTCGCTAATGTCGACATAGTCACTCGACACTGATTGTGAAATACTACCTACATTTTTCACACGATCATCCGAGACAGTTAAAGTCAAGTGCCTCAGGTACAGACACACACTCCCAGCCCTAACAAATCCCCATCCATCCATCCATCCATCATCGACAACCTCATTCTTCCTCCTCTCAACCCTACGGAATCCGAATAAGTATCCCCACCCCCAATATCATGCAAAGATTGTACACGTACAGTATTTGTATCCCCACCACCACCCCCAAGCGCCAAAGTCCACTATGAAAACCCGGATTCCAAGCAGCCCAATTCACCATTCCCACCACTATCGCCGCCACCATTCCCTCAATCACCCATTCCAATTCCAGCCGGTCGCTTCACGAACGCAATGACGCTCCAGACTCGTCCTTTACTCATCCCGGAAACCAACCAGGCGAGGAAAAATGTACAGTACAGCCCTGTGTCACGGTCACCATCACTGTCACTCCTTTCGCATCCCCTCCCTCGAACATCACGCCAACGTACTCCGTATCCAAAACCCATCAACGCTGTAATCCACCGCATCCAGCAACATAAAACCCATCACCATCCCCGCGCTCAAACACAGCTCATATTGTCTCCATCCAAAATCAACTTTCTTCAGTATATCACAAAACCGGTCTTCCTCTTCCCCGAGAATACCAACGCGGACAGTTCGGGAAAAAAAATGATGTACTCGCCCAAGTTCCTGCTCGCGCTGTGCCTGGCGGTGGGCATGGTGACGGCTTTGCCTAGTATGTTCTGCTTTTCTTTGGTGGTGGTGGGGGTGGTGGTTGGGTCTGTCTTATCGTGAAGGGAGGGGAAGAAGGCTCAATCAGGCAATTGAGATGGGAAAGAAGGCTGACTAGATGGGTTTAGAGGTGGGGTCGACCAGCGAGTTGGATGGAGATCTCTACAACTACAAGAAGCGGGCTGATGCTGAGCTCGACGGCGACTTGTATAACTACAAGAAGCGGGCTGATGCTGAACTTGACGGGGATCTTTACAACTACAAGCGTGACGGAGCCGAGTTGGATGGCGACCTCTACAACTACAAGAAGCGCGATGGGGCCGAGCTTGACGGAGATCTATACAACTACAAAAAACGGGCTGATGCTGAGCTCGATGGCGACTTGTATAATAACTAAAGCACCGCACTCGACCCGGGACAGAAATGGGGAAGAGACGTGAGACAGAGGTGGAACTGGTTATTATGGTGGATGATAGGGATGTAGCTTGTTGTCACGTCGTTAATGGTTATTTGTGTTATTCGAGGGAGTATCTGTATCTGTCATCAAGATGGTAGTAGACTGTAGGTACATGGACCGGAGATGTATGCAACCTGCCATAAAGTCGGACGATGATCACAAGCAACGTAGGGCAGTTTCGACTAAACGCTAGAACAAGGACATGCGACCAACCACAACAGCATCAGCAAGCCTCCGTAAACCCCTCCTCATCGTCCAACTCCAAGTACCAAGTCTGCACCGCCGCAAGCAAAGCAATTACCCCGGACCCCCACCACGCCAACGCACTGAAATGGTGATTCTCCCCGATGCTCTGCAACAGGCCCGCAACGGTGGGGGAGAAGGTCCGACACGCCGCGCCCGCGCTCGTCACCAGCCCGTTCACCCGCCCCAAGATCAACGGATCCGGCGTCCACCGCTTAATGAAGATCAACAGGGCCGGGTAGCTGAACGACGAGAAGATATTCCGCATCACCAGCCAGGTCCACAGGCCGACCGGCCGCCACCCGCGCGCTGGCAGGAACGGGAGATAGGGCAGGCAGAAGTAGGCGGCCGGGTGGAGGAAGGTCATGACCAGCAACGTCCGGCGCAGACCGAACCAGTCCGTGCACACGGGGAACAGCAACTGAATGCCCAGGCTGATGATCCCATTGATGCCCATCACCAGACCCACCGCCGACAGACTCATGTCGAGGCCGCCCACTCCGCCGATGTAGTACCGAGGCACGCTGGGATCGCGCGGGGTCCGCAGGAAGATGGGCAGCAGCTGGATGTAGGTGACGGTATGGGCACTCAGCAAGCAGACGGCGCTTATCAGCATCTTGACGTTGCGGTTCAGACTCCACAGCGAGAAGCCCGAAGTAGCACGGACAGAAGCAGAATCCGAACTGGTCCGATGGTGCTGCCGAAGGAGGGGTGAACCTGCAGACTGGGCTGGTTCTGGTTCTTCTTGTTGCTGTGATTCATCCGTGCGCTTCAATCTCAACTCCGGATGGGTCTCATCCAGAGCGCACCAAGCCAACACCATGGTAAACAGAACCATCCCCGCACAGGCCAGATTGGGCAGCAGATAGGGATACTGACGCAGCAAGGAGCTGAGAAAGTGTCCTCTTAGGTCCATCCGCTGCTGGGCCAATAACCCCCCGAGGGCCGGACCGATTGTGCATCCGATGCTGAAAAAGAACGGTATGACAGCATACGCCCGTGCTACAACATCGTCAGTGTCAGCCAGGAAACACTCAAGTCAACCCCTCGCAGTACCATCAATGTATCGAATCAATCAAACCCACCTTCATGCTCCGACCGACTGACCATCTCACTCACCATGGTCTGAACCACCCCGACATTCCCATTCAAGGCGCCCCCCAGCGCCCTGGCAAGAATGGCCACCCAGATGCTGGTTGCAAAGCCCAGCACAAACATGGATAGGACGGTGCCAGCGCATCCCAGCAACAGGACGGGCTTTCTTCCGATCCGGTCGGAGAGCGCCCCCCACCAGAACCCTGTCAGCGTCTCCGCGGCGGAGAAAGCCGCCACAAAGAGCCCGGCGTAGAACGCAGCTGGGTTGTTGCGGCTGTCGTTGTTGTTGTCGCCATCACGCAGCAGATGTACCATCAAGTCATATGCGTACGGGAGGGGGGAAGTCAGAGCGACCGGCTCGGCGATGCGGCATAGTCCTGCGGTTTGTTGAGGAGGATATAAGCGGGGTAGAGTTTCGCGTTTTGAAGTAGTAAAGCTTACCCAAAAGAAACAATTGCCATGTGGGGAAGTCCATCGTTCACGGTCAGTTTGGGTGGACTTGGTAAACTTGGTGGACTCATTCCACGGAAATGGAAGAGCTGTTCGACCATCATGGAAGATATACTGTATGGTAGCGGGCAAGCGGTCACGTGCAATCTGTCACTGCAACAGAAAGAAATAACCAGGAGACTCCTGGGAAAGAAAAAACAAAAAAGAAAAGAAAAGAGAACGGGTGTTCGGCTGCAAAAAGGTTGCAAGGGTCAGCCTGTAGAGAGGGCCACGCACTTCCAAAACGCCACATACTTTTACTACCACAGTCCTTACCCAAACACTAATATTCTTAACAAAAATTATATGATAGAAGGTAAGTCTTTACTTCTATATAATGATATACGATTGATTATCTTCAGGAATATAAGTAAATAAGGATTTCTACAGCACCCCTGCAGGCAAGCACATATACAAGCAAGCAACCGAGGCCTTTCGCAGTGTGCGTACAAACAAGTATAGGAGGTCTTTTGCAGTACCTCTGCAGATAAGCCAAGAGGTGAAGCCTTGTAAACATCTTTCTATATAATCTACATAGTCATATAGTTTATACCTATCCATAACAACCAATTTCAAGAATTTCTGCGGTAGAAAAACGATGCTTTTATATGTACATATTTAGAAAATCAGCAGCCGTTCCACAAGTGCGTGGCGTTCCAGAAGTGCGTAGCCCCCTTCATTTGCGTCAGCTTGCTTTCACAATTCACATCAACCTGCATCTTGGCGGGGGACCAAGTTTCCCCCTTAGGCAATTTGTTCAGCTGCCGGGAGGATTGTACTACCACACTACCTATACGCCGAACCATCCATCCTTGGAGACGAACAATCCCTGGTCCTGAACATGTAGTATAACATGTGTATAGTAACATCTAGTAGATCTAGTATAAGCATATCCCCCCACAAAGATAAGGACTCTATCGTCCCCTTAGACAGCCAAAATTCAAAAATAGTAGATGGTAAAGTATTCTAGCATACTTTCACCTCATAGACAGCCAACACGTGCAAGTACAGGGATCAGAATGGTATCAATGAAAAGCCAAAGGAGAAAATAAAAATCGCTGGTCGCTATGTGATGATGCGGAATCAACTGCATCGACTTTCAAAGTCTTTATGTGCAAAATATATCGTGCCGTGGCAACGTGGGATGCATAAGGGAAAAAAGGGGAATTAAACATGGTGGCCGACGAGTGAGCTTTTGGCGTTAGAGGTGATCCCCAACAAGATAGAGGTAAGATACGATTTCACGGAGCGATTCTCGATTGTCGGGATGCGCTGCGACGGCCGCTCGAGCCGTGTGGGCCAGGAGCCAGGCTTTTCCGCTGTTCTTGGATCGGATGCAATGGCGGTGCGATGCCTTGCCTAGGATCCATGCCTGGTTCACCCCAGCCAGGCGGTTGGGGGTCAATTGGGGAGGGAATCTTGGGGAGTGGACAGTTAGGGGGTGGAGCTGCAGGTGGCCCGATTAGTCCTGGCATGCTCTTGCGTCGGCCCATCCCGGCCGGCGGTAAGCGTGCATTCGGATCGGTCGGATACATCACTGATCCCCGCATCCGGGCGTGATCCTGACCATTTGTTTGCTCTTCAGCCAGAAGATGGAGCTCGGAAGGAGGCTTTCCGCCCACGGCGGTTGTAGGACGCAGCGTGTTAGCTGCGCTTTTCAATGGGTTCCGAGACAAGCGGGAAAGGCGATGAGTCTTCGAATCGACGCTTCGTACGGGATCAACTAGGGAATCCTGAGAGCTAGATACTCGTAGTGGTTTCGGTGGAGACAATCCCTGAAGAGACCCGACCTGGTGCGGCTCGTCCACAGCCCCCTGCCCAAGTCCATTCATGATCTTGCCTGGAGAGTGTGGGGGAGATGGGAAAACCAACAGAGGATCAGCGGGCGAATCCACGTCAACAAGATCGAGAGCAGGCGGGGCCTGCGGAAACTGCGGGACCTGCAGCGGCCCAAACCGAGCTGTGAACCGTTTGCTGAAGGAGGGTACGCTGAAGTTTGGTGCAGGTGGAGAGGTACTGCGGTAGATCGGGTCGGGTTGGGTCGACTGAGCCCGAGGAATCTCAGCCGCCAGCTCCGCAGCTGTGGGCACGGTCTGCGTTGGCGACGCATGCATCGATCGTCTCTTGGTTGACCCCGAAGCTGTTGGGCTAGCCATATCCCCGGACCTGGGCACATTATCAGCGGAAGGCACGCTCGGAACACTCGATGCTGTCATAGAGTAGAAGCGTCCCGAATTGCTGATCGGAGACGTGACTTCGGTATGAGTTGTGGAGATAGACCCCGAACGAGACTCCGATGCTGGAGGTAGCACTATCGAACGGCGGTTGGTGGAGACATGGGAATTCCGGCGAGACTGATCACTAAAGCTTGGATCCCTTTCCTCTCCGGACGCAGGCAGCTGGGGTGGAATCAGCGTGGAATATCGTTTCGTATCCCTTGTTATCATTTGACGAATGCTGGGCTTGTTGTGAAGCTGGTGGCCTGGCTCCCCATCATCGGCCCTTTCAGAGATATACTTCTTACCGCCACGCGCCTCGATTTGAGATCGGACTGCCAACAACCAGGTGTTCATGTCTTCGGGATGATCGAAGACCAGCAAGAATGTGCGTTCCATCCGTCGAGTATGGGAACGATGGAATCCAAAGCGAAATCGATGATGCTTGGTACCTTCAACGCCTTCCTCGTCCGATGATTGCGTCACTTGAAGCACGTAGTGCTTCCCAGGAATAGCATCACTGGCAAATGCCACTGATTTGGGTCCCAATTGAAGCATTTTTTCAGGCAAACGGTCGTGCTTTCCAGAGCCCGCATATTGTAAGATATAGCCGGCGGTAGCGAGAACGTACACCTTCTGCGACCATTCGGTCTTGCTAATTGTTTCGGAAAGGGTGCGCAGGTGCCTTTTTCGCTCTTTCTCTTCTTTCTTCTTCTTGGTGGTTGTTTCCTCCGCGGCGTCTCCGTTCTGCGATGCCTTGCTTGATGGGTCATCTTCACGGGAGACGATCCCTTTGGCTCTTGCCGTTGCTTGCATGCGCAAAATAGTGTCCACCGAGAGAGAAGGAACGGGCAACGAATCATGCTTGATCGACTGCGGGTATGCCTGGAACAAAGGCGGTGGTTTCCAACCTAAGTCACCTGCCGGAGGTTGATCATCGCCGGACTTCCCCCGCGATTTCGCAGGGAGCCTCGAGCGCTGAGAAGCAATTGTGGTGGGAGATGTGGGAAGTGTCGCAGCAGAGGTATTGGTTCTCGGTGTCGCGACCAGCGTTGGTGACAAGGGCACTGCCCCTGAGTTGGGGGCCGCTTGCTCTGTGGCAGGTTTCTGTTCATCGATACCAGATAGCTTGACCTCCGTGGCTGGCTTACGGGCCGATTTGTCGCGCCCGAAAATGTTGCGTAGACTGGACTTGGATGTCTGGCGTTTGACCGGAGCGGGTTGTAAAGGGACTCGCTCTCCTCCCTCCTCATCTGTCTGGTAGTCGGATGGCCGGGGTCGCTGTGGTCGAGTGGCTGTTACTTGTATCGGGCGCGCGGTGGGACGGCTGAAATTGGTTTGCAGCGGTGCCAATCGCTGGCCTCTGCGCTCGTTAACCGATTGTTGCGGGGAATCAATTTCGAGCGACATTCTCTGCGCGGATTCCCTCAATGGCGCAAAATTCTGGTGTGGGAAGTCGGGGGATCTGGTACGAGTCGGGGTATAATCGAGATCAGAAAAGCATTCAGCATTCGTGCCACAGTTAGGTGATGATTAAAAACGAGAGATTCAGGTAAAGAATGTGGTCAAACTGGCTGGATGACTTCATCGACAGACAATGCAAGACAACGGGCGGGATAGAGCGATGATCGGACCACTAGACGTGGATCATTCCCGTCCAAATTGTGGAGGCACCGTGTCGCATCCACCAGGACAGAGCTCAGATCGGTACAGACGAGAGAGAACGATCGCGATAACAGACTGTGGATACAGGACGACCCCCGAGTGTACGACGAACAGGGGATGATTGTTGGGAGTGGGAAACTGGGTCAACAGATCACCGGGGTGAAGATCAGATCAGTAGAAATCCATTGCCGTCCGTGAGCTATAAGAGAGTCGCAATTGAAGGTCATTCAGCTGGGGAGGCAGTCGAGAGCAGCAAGGATAAAACAGAATGAACGATAGAAGGGCGAAAAGAGGGGAAAAGAAGAGGCAAGAGAGTGTGAGGGCCAGGTTGGACGAAGGGAGGGGAGGTGGGAGAAAGAGGAAGAAAGCGTTGATGACTCGAAAATTGGCGACAAGAGAGAGGCAGGCAGGACTCGAGAGAGAGAGAGGGGTGAGGGGGGGTGAGGGGGGGCAGAAAGTATTAAAAATAAAATGAGTATTTTGTTTAGAAGAAAACGATGAGGGAGAATGAAAACTAAAAATGAAACTAAAGAAGAAACGATGGGACGGACGAACGATGGACGCAAACCCGCGTGAAACGGGCTGCAGGCCAGGATCCCAAAGTGTTCAAGGTTCCCACTGCAAGATCCGAAACGGTTTGGTGACCGATGAGGCAGTGGACTGTCCCCCACCCCCTGAAAAGTCAGTGATTTGAGTTTGGTCTCCTTCTGGAAGGATAATATTCGATGAGAGGATGTTCAGGTTGTAGAAAACAAGAGGAGGAGGAGAGGGAAGATGGGGTTGAGGGGGAGAATCGAACAGCCAGCCAGAGATTCAATTCGATCCCAAAAAAAAACAATGGCTGCTGCTGCCCCTGAATTGACCCAGCCTTGCAGGGCTCCACTTTCCACCCCATCGCGTGTAAGAAGTTGAGCGTTTGAAGCTAGAGAAATCGGAGATGGAGAA